AAAAGATATTCTGGCTCAGAGAAATTCTAAGAAGAGAAGCCCATTTTATATTTAATATAGACTCAGGAAAGAAAACGTTTTATAAAAGGGGAATTTTTTTTTACAAAAGTATATACAGTAGGAGATGTTATTAAAGCCTCAACTTGTTGAATAGAATCCTCTTTACAAATACAGTCTGGGCAAACCTTTAATTTCAATTCATATCTTTTTTAAGGAGCATTTGCAAGTAAACATTAACAAGTAAAAACTTTCCGGATAACAACAATGCATAGTATACTTACTATGTCTTAGGACCTATGACGAGCATTTGCCACCTGGATGAACCAGAGTTCCTACCAGCAAGCAACAGAAATTAACTCTAGCTGAAACAAGCATGAATTAAATCACAGAAAAGATATCAGGAAGTTCACATAATCACCAAGAAAGCAGGAGAATCAACCTCAGAAAATTGGAAAGAACTAAAGGAGGTTAATAGTAGCCAGGAACAGAACCAGGTAATCATCCATCTAGTGACAACACCACTGTGAGTCAGTCCTAGAAAGAAGATGCTGCTTGGAGCTCTGATGGAACACAAATGCCATTATCCAAGGAACATTACCAACTCAGAGTCAGTGAAGATTTACTTCACAGAAGTCAAAGTCTTCCTTGCCCGTCACTGTAAGACAAAAATGACCATCATCTCAACACAAAGGACCTAAGATCTTTTTGCAAGATCCTAACCAGGTGATGTGATATGACAAAGCAGAAAATTTCATCACAGGAGACCGCCAATGAATTTAATTGCCTACAGAATTAATTGTACACTTCAGTCAGTAGTCAATGGGTAGCAGTTCTCTTTTTATATAAAGTACAATTCCTTAATGGTATAAGTAATATGCCAGGCATTAGGATGCAATTATACAAAATGAAAAGAGTAAGTTATCATTCTGATTAATAGAAACATGTTACAGCTGAAAGCAATCCAAAGCTAGCCAAGTTCAATAAAAGTTCCTTATCTCCATTTTAGTATGTAAGTCATTAGCTCACAGAAGATTAATTTCTCCATTCATTCTTTAGTTCTCTTTCCTGGCAAAAAAAATAAAACTGTGGAGTTTTTGAAATACACTTTTTCTTGCTTAATCAAAGTTGAGCATCAAGTCAGCTCAAGAATAATTAACAAATTGTAGAGATTTCAAAACCTGAGAGGTAGTGGTCGAAGGTAAGTTTCATCTATGTAAGTACTCTAAGACAGGAATGGTGGCTCAATCCCAGCTACTCAAGAGGTGAAGATTGCAAGGACCACAGTTTAAGGGTAACCCAAGAAAACAAAAAGTCAGCATACCTCCACAAATAAGGCTAGTGTGACAGTGTATGGTTATAACCCCAGCTACGAAGGAGGCAAAGGTAGGACAATTGCTGTCTGAAGCTGGCCTTGAACAAAAAGTATGAGATCTTATAAAAAACATAAATAAAGCAAAACAAGAGCTGGAGGCATGGCTCATGTGGTAAAACACCTGCCTAGCAAGTGCAAGTCCTGAGTTCAAACCCCAGCACTGCCAAAAAAAAAAAAAAAAAACAAAACACCCTTTGGAGTTAGAGACACAATCCTTCACTCATCTTTAAATATAACTGAAAAGGCAATACAGAGATTAATCCTCCACACAGTAGGTGTTCTGTAGTCATCTGTTGATTTTAAGAATTTTAATCTGTAAGTAGAAAAAAACATGTAATCAATAAGCCTCATAAAGACAAGTTACGCAAAGGAAACAATTCCTTCCTTAAAGCATATTTTAAAAGGTAGCTCTTATACACTGCTTCAGAATGAATATTATCCACATATTAAAATCTTAATTCACCACACCAAATTTACTCTCTCAATCAGACATAAGTCCATTTTCTGTGCAAGGAAATGAGAACCTCACTCAATACCATACCATTATGAATTGTTTCAGAAACAAAGCTTCACATACCCATTTTAAACAAATGTTCAAATTAACAAGCTCTCCAGAACTACACAGCAAAAGGTTCTATTGCCTAAATGAATCATTAAAAAAATAATCTCCAAATTAGTTTCTATCAATTGCACCTCAGAAACTGCCACATCTAATTTTAATCAAATCTTCTAATTTTATTAATATGCATTTTCCATCTTCAAAACGCTGATCCACACAAAACCATCTCCCAAGAACATCAAGTTAGCAAAAGAAAGTGCATGGGGGATGCGTATTAAAGCTAATCTGAGGGCCCAACTCTCATCTTGGTTGATTATTAGCTCTACAAGCTTGGCAACGTTTTTAACCTTCCCTTCCTTGTTTCCTTGCCTATAAAGTAAGAATGGTGGTAACACTGATAAGATTTGGCAACTAACTGAATATGACAGACATTGAGAGGCATTACAGGTGATCTGGAGCTATCTCAGCTGAGCAAGTACATGGAGAGAAAAGGAAAAAGGTTTGAAGCAATGGAGATTTGACAAGTTGCATTTGGACCAGGAGAGGTGAAGACTCAGAAGGACAATGAACAATCAAAAATGTGAGTTCAGACACAAAGAAAGAGACCTGTGAAATAATCCAGAGATTACACTAGAAATTACAGGTATGGCTATCATTAACACTTTTTTCCAAAATATATTAGAAAATGCCATTTTATTTCCAAACATATCCAGATATGAAAAAATAAAATATGTAAATCAAATATATTTCAGTCAATTACAAACCTTTTAAATTATGAACTCTCCTAACACATGACTGACAAGATACTGATGTCAAATGTGTCTGAAATGTCTGTGAATTTGAAACATGACAGAAATAAATCACCTGGAATCAGATGCCCCAATGACAATATAAAATTTTATATAATACTTTCTGTATGTTAAATACATTAATATCCCATATAATGTCCCTCTGTGAAAATATCAAAATTGTAAGATAGTAATCTATTTTCAGGACAATCAGGAAGATGTATGTAATCCGGCTTTAGCCTCAAATCTATTCGGTAAAACTCCATGTGTTCTTGGTCTTTGCCAATCTTGCAGTGACAGCAATATTTCAATGTGAAGCTTTGCCAGGTTCTCCTTGCTTTGTTCTCTCCAGGCAACCTCAGCAAAGGTGATGCACACACTTCCCTCTACACTTACTATCAGCTCGTTTCACTTCCTACCAACTAGAATCAGAAGCATCTCTTCCGGTACTATACATTTTCTCACAGACCAAAACTATTCAACAACAGAAATCAAGACCTTCCAACAAACTACAAATGAGTACAGGGAGAATAGTTATTAGTCAAATGAGCTTCAAGGATTGGTTTTCTGAATTCCTGTTCAGCTCTAAACACGCTCACAGACTCCACTGGCCCCACCACCTAAAACACCACAGGTGTGCACAGGTGAAAGACTGCACTCACTCACAGATTCATCTTTCTCCATTCCTTCACCCAGTTTCTTGAAATCATGCCAAGAGCCAAACTTAGCTTTCTTTAAAAAGATTAATTTCACAGTTTTAATTTTCTTTTATTTAAACTTCTTTTATTTTCAATTCCCACCTCCCCCTTTATTCTCATCCCACTAAGTACATGCCATATAAATTCCCCAAGAGCAAAAACTATCTTAAAAGCATGGCATACAATCCCCAATCATGAAGTGATGGCTAAATAGAGTGTTTTAAAACAAACCCATGACTAGGAAGCTGATTAATTCAGTTAATTCATAAGTCCACAACAACTGAAAGACAGGATGTCTCAGCTCTACTGTGCCTAAGCATGTGAGGCTGGGAGGGCAGTCAGCTGGCTTCCAGAACACCCTTAAAAAGGACCCTTGGGTCTGAACACTAGTGCTTCAGTGCATGGAGGAAAATAAAGGAGAAAATGAAGATCAAAGTTCAACTTGAACTTTACATTTCTTTGCTCTCATTTCCAAATCCCCAAACCACAGGAGTATAAAATAAAAATGATCCTTTCCTGTGCAAAGGTGAGAAGAGCAACCTGCACTGGACTATCACCACAATTCACTGAGGAGCATTCCTCCAGGACTGCGCCTAACATTACTGGTGCTTTTCACTTAAAAACTAATTTTGATCATTTTTGAAAATGAAACCATATTTTCTTAAAAAAAATTACTAGCCATTTCTACATTTAGTATCTGAAAACTACAAATGACTTTCCTTCTAGAATATAAATTATGAGACAGAAGAGGGCTTGTCTGTCTTCACAGCTAGATCCACACTGACCATGCATGGTCAACACTCATTTGTTCGAAGAAAGAATAAGTATCTGTTTTAACTGATATAATATAGAAAGGATCTGTCCTATTAGCATCTTGGGGAACTTTAAAAAGAAGATAAAATAACAATTACAGCTGAATTACCAAGAGCAAATGAAAAAAAGAACAAAGAAAATTGGAACACTGAACTATGGAGCCTGCCTCTATCTTGCATGCTCAAATGTTGCCAGAGCAGGTGCTCTGGTTTTTATTTCTGGAAGGAAACAAATATTCTCCAGAGATGCAGGAAAAAGATTCGGGTACAACTCCTTCTAGTGTCCATACTTCCACTGCCCAATACAGTGGTCACTTGCCACATGTGTCTACTGTACACCTTAAATGTGACAAGTGTAAAATAACATATGCAGAAAGTGTGAACTGCAAACCAGAAGATTAGGATAAAAAAGATCCCACCGAAAATTACCCAATATTAATTACATGTTGAAATAATGTTACTTGGACTTATTAAAGTATGACCCGCCCTGTGGTGTGCTTCTCTATACACTTCTACCCTATTTCTCCCAGCCACTAAACCACAGCTGAGAAAAGATGGTGCAACAGAGACCGAAAACATCACAGGTGCTGCTATCAAGTAAAAGAATCAAGTTTTCCTAACTGAACTTTTTTGCTTTTGCAAATCAAAGTTGTCACCTGTATCTGTCCATTAGCATAAACCACAACAAAGGAATTTCACTAGTGGGAAACCACTGCCTATGAGGTTCACTGATTAGAGCAAGTGGGTTTCAGCTGTTATCAATTAGCTTACTTAGTCTCTTAGCAGCCTCCAAAGCTTCATTCGCAGTGTCAGCTACAAAGAATCTTTGAACTCTCACTCCATGCTCAGACATCAGCTTCTTGCTCTGGTATTCCTGCAGGTTCAGCCATCTTCTGGAAGTCAGCTGAACTGCCTAGAAAAATGGAGAGAAGGTAAGAGCACCATCAACTAGCAGCGAGAAACAAAATTTAGTGACCAAAGGAAAAAATAAATCTATGTAAATTATTCAATGATGAACTATTTTTAATCAAAAGTGTTAAGTCAACCATACATGCACAATGAATGCAGACTTTTTTTAAATGGTAAAACTGGATAAAGTCTACAGCCTAGTTAATAGGAATGTACCAGCGCAAATGTCCAGGTTTCATTTCTGTACTAGAATTATATGATGTCAACACTTGGCAAAGGTTATTTGGGACTGTTTTACTTTTTTGCAACTTTTAGGGCATATGTATTTCTAAATTAGAAGTCATCTTGAAAAATGTTAAATACCCTGTTACACAGCCTAGGCTTCCCTCCCACACCCACCCTAAATAGTTAAAAGCACAGAATTACTTGAATCACTGTAAGGTATCTCAGGAAAACTATTTTAACTCTCTGAGGTTACTGGGCCACACACGAATTCACTTCTTTGTTTTTAATGGAGCCTAGATACAATCATAGAGTTTAATGAGATTATCTCTCTCATGCACCAAAGCTGAGCACAATAACATAAAAGAATGTCCAATAATTAGGCTAGTTCCTAAACTACAACTTGTATATTCAGTAATCTTGCTTGAGTTTCAAGTAGAAAAGGTTTTACAATATGTACTATTAATCACTTTACATTGAAAGAACATAGGCAAAGTACAGAATGACAAACAAGCAAATTACTTATTTTATCAAAAAATATTAACAGCATTTTCTACCAAATCTATAAAACTCCATTTTTTAAATAAAAAAGAAAAAATGAATACACTTAGTTACACTTGTTTCCATTGACTCATGATACAAAGGAACTTACAAGAGGCAGGATGGTGATGCCATTAATGAAAACTAAAAGTTCAATCACATAACTAATTACAAGATTGGTGGAATGTGAAAAATAACCTGATACCCACCCTAGCAGCTTCTATCAATAGTACTGGTGGATGTCTGAAGGGGGTGCTGTTTCTCGCGCTCCCTCCTTTGCTGGAGCAAGGTTTTCTCTCTTGCTCCTTGGTTATTTCTGGACCCAGATGGGCTTAACTGGGGGAGATGGGATTTTAGAGAAGATATAGGAAAGACAGAAAGAAATTCAGGGTCAGGTGTATTGTATGCTCAGCTGGAGACAACCCTCATTGTTTCTCTTCTCTATCTTGATTATTTAAGGCCTTACTCCTTGCAGCTCTTTAAAACCTTGCTTCTAAAGTCTTCTTTAAAACCCTGCTTAAAACCTTTTTCCTTGGGCTCGCTCTGTGCCATATTTGCTTTTAGCTTATCTTTAGCTTAATTGCTCTGAAAGTCTTTTGTCCCCAGGCTTGCCCTGTCTTATCTCTCTTTAGTTCTCTTAAAGCCTCAGTGCTACAAACTTGCAAACAGACACCCTACAACCTGCATCTGCATAACTCTTAAGGTCCTTAGGCTTGCACTGTGCACTGCCCCATGTTCTCATTGGCTTTAGCCAATGTATGCAGTTCTTTCTCAGCTTTGCTTTCTGAAGCCTATGTTAAAGTTCTCAGTGCAGACTTCCTATCAACCTCTCTTTAGCATTTTCCCTTCAATAATTCTTTTCCCTTCCAAAAGCCCAAAGTAAAGCCCCAAAAGGCAAAAGCAAAAGCCCCTCTTCCTCCTTCAGGGGTCTTTTATAGCAACAAACAGGGTGGAGTCATGGGGGGTGCGTGACACTGTAACAGGAGAAACCTGGATTCCTGCTTCTCTGAATACAACTTAGGAGCTGTGGCTGTTCTGCCTTTCCCTGTTTCGTGGCCAAGGGTTGTGCCTATCTCGGCCTACAGGTAAAAGCAATTAACTGCATCTCGCCTTGCTTGTGTCCAATTCTCATAGGCTTTAATCCGCTCGCCACAGATGTCCAAGGCAGTTATCAAGCAGACTGTAGCACAGAGGCCCACAGGGCTTTACCTCACAGAAGCATTGGCTTTCAAGACCTCTAAAATGTTATCTTCTAAGATCTCTAAGGTACAACACACTCCTGAGCCCTTCTGGACAAGGGGTATCCAAAGAGGCTATAAAACCTTGTAACTATACCAGGCTCTACTCAAGAGCAGAATGTGCCATGACACTGGATGCGTTGTTGAGATCCTGTATTTGGCATACAGAATATACTAAAAAATATCAGTTAGATGGCCAAATGAATAAACTATGCTGTTTGTCTCCTAATGCAGAGAACTTTACATTCCCAGAAACTGGTCACCAGTTAGCCCTTAGACCTGAAATATAAATAATAATTATGCACATTTGTAAAATATTCAAAATTTTATATGATCAAGCCTAAAGATAGCTCTTTCTTGCTTTTATAAGGAAATATTACTAACAATGTGTTTTTTTTAATATTGAAGCTGACCGCAGTTCTTCTTTAAAAATAAATACTGGACCAAAAATAAACTGCCAGACAAGCCATGTTCACATCACATTACTGCACATCGTTTATATCTTACTTCTGACAACTCTTAATGAAACATCACTAATGTGAAAAACATAAAATTTCATAAACGAACATACTCATAGGCTTAATATTCTTAGTAGCATGCCATACAACATTCCAGAAAAATACAAGTTTAAGGTATTTAGTAAAAGCCTTTTAATGAAAGAAAACATCACATGTTACAAATGTGCCATTATCTGGGACCATTTTTAAAAGACAAAATGGGAAGGATCAATAGATTAGGTCTGTGGTGGAATTCCAACTCAAAGACATTAACCAAAGAAGAAAAAATTTAGTTTAAAACACATGTAAAAGAGATTAAAAACAGTCACCTGTGTGGTTGTGGTCAATTCCCTTTCATTAGAACACTCACCATATTAATTTTAGATATGTTAATGCAACCTGCTGCAAACTAATTGCAATTGATCCAGAGACCAGCTTCATAGACATGTAATACATGTTTCTACACTGACTCAGCTTTAAGTCTCTGGCTCTTAAATTGAAAACCAAGACAGTGAGCACAATTCCAAAGCCAATGCTGATATCCAATATATCACTCCACAAAGTAATCCTCTTACAGAATTATCACTTATCTGTGCTCAATCCAAAACTTGGAAGAGTAGTGTCACTGACTAGGTTTAAACTTCATTAAATCAACTCTACTTATTAAGAATTTGTGCTAAATCCAGAGAAGGAACAAATTAAGTTTACTTTTGCACGTTCAGGAAATAATAAAAGGGGGAAGGGGGAAGAAGAAAGTGCTAAGTAAATGGGTGCTGTAAAACATGCTAGAAATATGAACTGAGTATCAATAATAATTTCATCTACTACAAACTGAGCGCTTATGTTGTATTAGACATTAGACTAAGTGTTCGTGTTACCTAATGGTAAAAACAATCATGAAAAGTCAAGTATTATTACTCTTTCTCTATAACTGTCATTACTGCAAATCAACTCCCAGTCTTCCACCTTCTAGGTAATTCTTTGCCTTAGCTGAAATTAAGTGAGGCCATGTAACTAGTTTCAAACAGTAAGTTTTAAATACGTATTATGTATGACACATCCAGGCAGATATTAAATTACCATCCCTCTCACCCCATCCAAGTTCTCTTTCTTGTGACAAGAGGAAATGTGATATTCAAGATGGCAGATGATCTATCAGCCAGAGGCTGGGAGGAAGAGACACATCCCAGGTGGCTCACAATGAATGTGCAGTAAAAAATAAACCTTTGTGGATTTTCAACCAGAGATTCTAAGGGTTGTTATTATTGCAGAACCTAACCTACCTAGAGAACACAGCCTATCCTGACTAATAAAACTACCTTACAGATAAGAAAACTCAACTTGAAGGTTAAGTCACTTGGCCAAGATCATAAGCCATAGTAAAACGAAAGCATCTCTGACCAAATTTATTGATCAGCTGTCTCACACCATTGTTTCCCTGTGTCTATATTCTGACCCCACATTCCCAGAGGCCTTGTGGTGATAAACTAATGTAGAGATGAGTAAGACAGTATCCCTGTCTTCAAAAGACCAAGTCTACCAGGAATAGAACTGAAAGGAAAAGCTTAAATGCTCCAGGCATTTAAGGAGAGGAGGGAGTGAAATGTGTTATCCTGAGACATACAAACATAGTAGAAGTTTTTGACTTCTAGGAAGAGTTATATATTAAAACCCTAGAAAAATATCTTAATTGCAGGAGAAAAGCTTCCTGAGAATAAGTAATATAAAGGAATTTAAAAATGAGCGGGCACGGTGCCTTTTGATTGTTTCTACCAGTTACAGTAGTCCCCTATAACTCCCCCCACCACCACCAATCCACGGGATGCAAACCAAAATTCAGTGGATACCTGAAACTTTTGATAGTACCAAATAGAAAATACACTGTTTTTTCCTATATATATTGACGAATGATAGTTTAATTTATAAATTGGAAATAAAAAACTAATAAAATAGAATTATAACAATATACTATAATAAAAATTATTAAAACATGTGAAAACTCCTAGAATTTTTCCATTTAGTGTTTTTGGACCACAGTTAGCTGCAGAAAGCACAAATAGATAAAGGATTTGTCCTACTAATTCCTTGCTTGCCCCCATATCCATTCCCCAAGCTTCTTTGCCAACCAGCTTCGGAGTACCTTTGAGACTCCATTCGGAGATCGGTCTGTGGGAAGAAGAAACCAGGCTCTGACTTCCTTTTTCTAAATGGGGCAGCACCTCCAGCAGTGACCACCTCCTCTTTAGTTGTAGTTCCCTCCACACTGTCCTTCCTTCCATCATTCCAGCTCCCTCTACCTCCCCTGACATGACTCCCCTCCCACTGGCTTCCCTGAACTCCTTCCTCCCTAGGACTCACAGAAGATTCCTGAGTGGCCTCCAAAGTCCCTCTGCTTTCCAACAGCTCTAACACTGCTTCTTAGAAATATTCTTCCCCTTATTAAACTCTGTTAAATGATCAGGTGGAATCTCCATCTTCCTCATTGGACACTGATAGACTGTGCTTCC